TATATGTATCAATACAATGTACATGCTAACAGCAAGTATAATGTACCATCATGTACATCTAGCAGTAAGTGATAGCTAATGTACGCGATAGCATGTACTCTAGACACAGATGATATATGTGCCCTATACGATGTTACATATAACACAATATGTGTGTTTATTTTTGCATTTTTTTTTTTAAAGGAAAACACTCACATGCCCCCATCACATGTACACTGCGGGTCACGCCCCCCCCCGACCCTCACACTGAGGTGGCGGGGGTGTGGCAGCCTTGGTGGGCGGGGCATCTACGCCGGCGCCTGGCGCCACACACCCGCGTCTCTTCCCTCGCCCACCCTCCCCGCTCCCCGCAACAACTCGAGCCTTTTTTCCACACAAGCTGCTCGACACCCGGCAATGTTAGCGTCACTAAAGTCGCGCTCGCAAATAGCGTGCTCCAAAGACCACTTCTGAGCCCGTGCGTGCATGTTTGGAGAGTGCAGCGCGCTTAATTTGGCACTGGCGGCGTGATATTTGCAACGGCGCGGCGGATTAGCAGAGATATTCGCCCCCTCGTGTGCCACAACCGACACACCACTTAGCTCACTTCATTCAATCCCCCCTCCCCGCCTATCTCACGCCCGCGGCTGAGCCCAGCGCGGCTTCTTCCCTTCTGTGTGTGAACGCGCCCTCACATAATGACAAATATTTGTCAATAGTTTTCTTGGTCCAATGATATTGTTACTTGTCCATATATGTTTATCTTTGGTCAGATATATCTGTATATTTGTCATATTTTTGTCAAAATTTTTTGTCCAACATTTTTGACAAATAATTTGTCATTATTAAGCTCCTGATCTAGCATAATGTAATACACCTGACCATAGCAGTTGTGAGCACTCTCACACAATGCTATACCATTCTCTAACACCCACCATGCTCCATATCAACGCGAGATAGGAAGAAGGCGGAGAGCGAGGGTGCGTCGAAGAGATATGAGCGAGGCGCGCGCCGGCGCCACACCCACTGTCACACTCACCGAGAGGAGTGGCTCCCACCACCCGTACATCCGACATGTGGAGAGAGTAGTGCGCTCCCGTGAGCCGGCATGCTGCACACTCCACAACCTCCGTCACCCGGACGTAACCCACGTACCATGGCGGGGCAGGAGGGGTAGCGAGATAGCACCACACGCCCTATCACACATACATGATATGCGCCACTCGTCACCCATAACACCTCCCCTACATCTACACGCACCAGAGATCACGAGGAGTGTGACCCACACACTCACCCTCACACGGTCATCAGACACAGAGAGAGGTAGCCGGAGTGTAGAGTCCCACCCAGTGTGGGAGCTCGTGACGACCAGGCAATGGTGTGCCCCCCATTCACCATCACACCACTCGTCGCAACCCAGCCTCTAACGCACGAGACCGTGGTGACCTACCCATCGTACCCACGGCCCACTAAGAGAGTGACCGCAGCCCCCCGCCGCCGCCCGTGTCCACCGCACACCACACTCTCGCGTGTCCGTACCACGCTGGGTTGCTGTCGGGCGGCAGCGTGCGCGTTCCCGTGACCTGACGTCTGACCTCGCATGCCCGACATCTCGGGAGTGCAGGTGACACACGAGCAGCCGCTCTCACAAGGCTGTCCTTCATCATCGCCATGGAGACGACGATACGACGCTCGCACAGCTGCTCACACGTGCACGCCGCTGCCGGGTACGACGCAAGGAAGGTCAGCGTCGTGGCCCTCGGCTGGACGACTCCAACCGGTCGAACACGTGGTGAGGTGTGTGTGTGCGCGCGTGTGTCGTGCGTGTTCGCGTGCGTGCGGTGGTGTGCGTGCGTGTGTGTGCTGTGCGATTGTACGAGGTGTGTCTACAGTAGCGGTAGTGATCCGCTAACCCCGCCGTTCTCCGTCTCGCCATCTAACAGCTGCTGCTTCTCGGCTCCAGCTCGTCCCGGCCTCCTCACACGTCGTCGTCGGAAGGACAACCGTCACGCAGCGCCGGCGGCAGGCGCTCAAACTCCTGCCGAGCCGTCGATGGAGGCATACAGAGGCGTGCAAGTCATCCGCCCCGCCCGCCCTATCGCGCGCTGCGAGTTGCCACGGCTCGACGCCTGCCTGCAGCGCGCTTCGCTGCGCCGCGAGCGGCCCGAGGACGCGGAGTCTCGTACGGACTCGACGAGAGCTGCGATCGCTGCTTCTTCACGAGTCGCTGTAGCGACCCCAGCTGCCGGGGCCCCCTGGTGAGACAGGACATCCTCGCAGGTGAGCCGGCACCCCCGTCTCCGTCTCTCCGTGTCTCGCCGTGGTTGTCATCATGCTCACCTCGTCTCGTCTCTCTGTCTCGCCCCCGTCGTCGTTACGTCTCGCCTTGTCTCGCTGGCACTGTCATCTCCTTGTTTTGCTGCCACTGTCTGTCAGGCATTGCTGCCTCGCCGCCCTTGTTGCCTCGCCTCACCACCATTGTTGCCTCGCCTCACTTTATCTCGCCGCCATTGTTGCCTCGCCTCACTTATCTCGCTGGCCATGTGCGTGGTCACGCCACCTCGTGCTTTTCGTGCCACCATTTGTTGTCATGGCTGTTCTGTTCTTGCCTCCGGTAGTTTCGTGAGTCAGCGTACTTATTGCGCCCTTCGACCCAAGACTGTCAAGCTATGTGCCCCGTAACTCTACGATATATCTCGGCCTGTAACTCTCGATATATCTGCGCTTTAATGTATGA